TCATCAGTTGTAGCGCCGCTGTAAGCGCTTGCGAGAAATCGATCAGTCGCTGGAACAAAGCCCTTTTGCTCTTGAACCTGGCTTGGGCCATCATCCTATGCCCTGATGTGATCATGTACAGTGCTTCTATCAGCTCTTGCGCGGAATCTGCCAAGTGGCTCCAAGCCCAGACCCTCCTGTGTGACGCAGAAGGCCTCTCTCTGCGCCCGAATACCGTTACATATGGAGCACACATTACTGCCACTGGGCATGCAGCGGCCTGGAGACAAGGCAACTTGCCATGAGATTGCTTATTGAGCCTCATGTCCTACTGCAAGATGCATGTACCCAATATTGGAGTATTACACTTTAGATGTTTTTGGTTCCTGGGTTCTCATTATAACAACTTCTACCTAAAAAGTCAATACTTTTTTTCTGTGGTGTACTCCAAACTAGGTTGTACGTGCATCACGCACCAAATCTCTTATGTTCCACGGTGCTGTTGAATGGTGTCGCGAGATGGGGTCAACAGCGTCTTATTTGGCTGTCCTGGGGGCAAAAATCCTACATAACCCCTATATAACCCCTATAATTATAGTAGTTTGCACTTTGTTTTGCATTATCCCTTAGCCCTTTGAAAGCCACAATACCACCCTCCAACCTTGAACCTCACGCAGCCAGAAGCCCCCCAACTCTGCAGCCTCACACCCTGAAATCCCGTAAGGTCGTATAGTCCCGTTTAAGTGGATGGACTATGGTCTTGGTTTTGTCATAGAAAGATCCCAATATACTCCATTTTCCATCTACTTAGCGGGGGGCAGTACATGATGCACAGCTGGTCAGGTATATTTCTGCTGAGCAATGTCTTTATGAAGCAGCTGCAGCCAGATGTCGTGAAGTTCAACGGCTCGATCACTTGCTGCGAGAAGGCTGCTGAGTGGCAGCACGCATCTCGTCATCACGCAGCGATGACAGCGAGCATAGATAGTCAACTGGAGATGTGCTCTGGTTCCTGGAAAGTCTCATCACATGTTCTTCTCTGTTTGAGGTCGGTAACACGAAGCAATATCGTCATTGCCGTGGCAGGTCAAGTAGTCGGGGCCGATGCGTCCAGGGCCTAGCGCTTGACGCCCGCGCATCTGTATGCGTGGTGTTGGAGCAAGGTTGGTTGTGCAAGCGAGTCAAGCTTAAATGGGGTCAAGAACAAAATGAGCGAGGGACAAACGCATTACTACTCTGCTGCAGTAGCATGCCTTTGGCAATAGTTGAACAACCTTTATTCGTTCTTGGTCTCCACCAGATTAGCCTCTGTCCAGGTGCTCAGCTCCTTTTTTACAAAACATGAACTTCTTTTTTCAGGCAGCCTTTGCATAGAGCCTCCAGTGTCCTTAAACCCTAAACTGCATTATGAAAACCATCTCAGTATGGTTGTTTGAAAGTTGTTAGGTCCACCAACACTTGCCCGCTCACGAGAATCTATTCAGTCAGTCATTCTGACCCCTGGAAGCCTCGTGGGAGGCGGGGCTGGGGTGGAGCCCTGGAGGCCTGGGGATCGCTCTCAGTTCGGTCCACCTTTCCATTTAGCAACACGGACTTAAGGGACTACATTGCAAACACCCGGTTTAAATCCAAACGCGTTACGTTTACGATGCCGCAGGTGATTGAACGCAGGAGAACCAGCAAGAACGCTGACGGGGTCCCAGCAAGCCATTTTTCTAGCCCCGGCCCATAGACCCTGAACGATGACGACCTTTTAATTACCCTTTCCAGCATGGAACCCTCAAGGCTAATTCCTACCATATGTTGCAACCTGAATCCTGAAACCCTGGGCCATAGCTCCTTTCCGACTAAGGCGATTCAGCTCTTGTCGGAGGCTTCGGACCGAAAACTTCGCCCGAACTCGATCACAAGCTGCTGGGACTTGAGCGGAGGGGCTCGGATGAGGGATGGGTCTATATTGGTATACTGGGTTGCCATTAAGGAACTCAAATTAAGTGATCATAAAGTCTGTATATCTTGAATTCAATAATAGGGTTCCCTTAGTATATTTCCTGAATTCAAAATTCCTTGACAGCAGCCCAGTATAGTGTGGTGTTGAGGCAGGTTTGGAAGCTCAAGTAGGGTTTCAGCTTTTGTGGAAAGGGTTGAGCCAAAGGCCTTTGACATTCATGACTTGCAAGCAGTAGTTTCAATGATGAAAAGAGGGAGCGTGCTCACAGCTGGTTTTTGGAAATGGGCAGTTCATAAGAGAAATGCTGCATATCTGGCGGTGTGTCCAAGTTCTCTCGTATTTTTGCAGAACTCAGGGGCCATGGTCTGGCCCATTTGTCGACATGCCCAAACGATGGATGCTTTCAAGTACGCCCATTGATTAATTAATCCTCTAGGAGCCCAGGACTTGGCCCATTGCCCCTGGTTAAGTTGGGCTTGATGCTTCAGAGTTAAGTATATACCCCTTCACCCCTCCACTCCCCCTGAAACGCCGGTAGGTAATCTTAAAGAGTAGGTGTGCAGTTCCCTTTATCTTTCACACTACGTCCTGGGCTTCACTACATACAAGCTGAGCGCTTTTTGTACTTTGGGATGCGATTCTAGAGCCCCCACAGGTGGCCTGAATGGTCTAAGCCATACGATTAAGAATTTCAAGAACACTTGCAAAGGAAAACATGTCTTGAACTTCTTGGGGTACCTGTGCAAGCAATTACTTACACGTAGACACGAACATTCCACTCACAGCTGCCAACTTCGACCGCCCAACAGACGAGAGGGTTTTGGGATTACATTCAGGGTGTGGGATTCGGGGTGATGGAGGGTCTAGGGTCCCAGTGAACGCAGGCAATGCTGCCGTCAGCGCATGTGCCAGGGGGGAGTTGGCAAGGGGACCCGACCGTTTCTAGCATCCAGAGTAGGATGAGTCTTGGCTGCTTTATCCCAGAGGGTCCAAGTAATTACCCAATAATTAGGTACTTGGCAGGTTTTGGGTAAGTATATGGTGATTAGGTACTTGGACCCTTAGGTATGTCTTTCCTTGATGTTGAGGGCTGGCTTTTTGGTAGGTGAAGTTGTAGGTTCCCTGTCAGTGCATGCCTTGCAATCAGAGTTGCTCTTGTTGCGACCGTTGGGGATTACACGCCGCATCGGCAACATGTTCAGAACTTGTACAGCCTGTTCCAGTCAAGGAACTCACGAAAGCCGAGCAGAAGGTGCCTCACGCTTTCATCTAGAAGCTATTACCATTGCCAGCTTGAAGGCGTTGGATTGGTGCAATGAATAGAGGATGCGGATTCCATGCCGCACCTATATCGAATGTGTATGCCTCGTTTAGAAGGCTTTGAGCTGCTGAGCTGCGCCCACACTTGTCAAGCCAAAGCGGTGCGTCTGGCGGGAGACAAAGGCTGTCCTGTAATTAATGTAAAGTGATGGATGTTGGCAAACGTCGCTACTTGCTGCTAGCAGACAGTTGCGCCCTGGGCCAGACTTCGCTGGCACGCAACAAGGTCATTGTTTTTGCCATCCTTCAAGACCAGTTGGTCGGTTTTTCTGGCGCAGCGCCTATTTGAAAGAATCCCTGCAGCAGGCTGAGGTCTGTGTGATTTTTGTGCAGGATTCGTTCAGAGGGCTGCTCATTCGTGGCCAGGAAGTTGCCAAGCAATGGAGGAGATCTTACAGGGCTCGCTGACGGATATACTAGTGGCATTCTCTGTAGCTTCGCAGTGATTGCGCTGGAACCGCTGTCCAACGCAGGAGACGTCAAAAGGTGCACAGGATGCTGGTCATGTGACCGCAGTAATAACTGCACATGGCTTCCGCTGATGCCAAAGATCCTGCATGACTTTTTTTACCAGAATACCAAAAGTCCTGATAAAGGTTTAGGGTAGTTGGGGTCCTGCAGCACCTTGCGCTTTTGCAGTAGCTAGACGTTTGGGATGGTAGTTTCCATAAATAGGGGGACCCCAATAAAGTGCTTATTATAGGGACCCCCAAAATGGTACCCGAACTTTGGGAAAAGTTCCATATAGAGTGCCCAATATCGGTTTGCCCAGCCCATACGGCGCGCATACAGGCGACCCAAAGCATGCTTAAACTCATAAAATTTGCTGTTGGCAACTGTGAACCTGACATGTCCCCTTGTGTGTTTACTTCTGCGTAGCTATAAACTTCAGGAGTCCTAAGCCCCAAACCAGCGCAGCATACCGAGTTGCTCAGGTGTTCCTTGACCCAAGGGTTGAGGCTGTCGGGTTCGGGATTGTGGCTGAAGATAGGACATGCCTACTATTCGCAAGAAGCAGGATACCCCAACCCCAAAGAAGGTGCTACGTAGGATCCTTTATGTGATACTGTATGGATTGGGGTAAGCTGCACAACAAAGCTTGAGATGCACATGCCCACCCCAATCCCTAAAAGCACAAGCAATTTGCTACAATCCTCAAGAGGAAGCTGCTGCTTCACCGTGCCGCTTGCCATGTGGCATCCTAGAGCCTCAGCCCCAAACCCTAAGCGCAAAGCCCGAGCTTTAAACCCTGAGCCTAGAATCTCAAGCCCCAACACGAAACGGCACAAAGCACATTGCAGCACGCATCCGCCTGTACCGCTTGTAGGCTAGGAGGCGCTCGTCTAGGCTCCGGGCTTCTCAGAGTAAAGGTTCAAAAGGTGCAGGGGAAACCCGTACCGCTAACAAAACATCCTGCAGCCCCAGAGAATGAAAACCCCCAGAATACCATCATTGGGCATTAAGGGGAATGCTCAGTAGTAGAGGGGTGGGGGGTTTAGCAGGGGGCAGGAATTATAGGCCGTTTGACGCTGCAGCTAAGTGGTGACGATGGAGCTAATCGTTGCAAGTTGCGCTGTGCGAAGCCACCAGGAAGCCCAAGACTTCAAATGAGCGGCAATGGAGAAGCAAATGGAATCTGCGCTTGATATCTTCACGATATCGCAACTCATCAGCGCATGGCATCGAAAGAGCAGCTGGGAAAGGAGCTTAAAGATCTTTGCTGAAGTTGGAGCGAGCAGCTTACGATCCAATGTTATCACCCATGGCGCTGCAATCAGTTGTTGCGAAAAAGCCACGAAATGGCAAGATGCAGTGGAGCTCCTTTTCTTGGTGAATGCACAGCATTTCAGATTTCCGCTAGCTGCAGGCAAATCATGGCAAATAGTTGGACATGACTGGCTCCCGGTGGTTTTCAGCAAATGAGGCTGTTCTATGGTCTGCCGAAGAAGTCCCTTGAGGCCAACGTCATCACAGGCAGTTCTGCAGTATCTGCTTGCGAGAAGTCCTCTGGACGTTGGGACGAGGCTCAGGGGTCGAAGCGTGTGCCTTGCACTGAGCTGAGGGCAATCGTGTAGGATAGTGGAGTGGGAACGGGCTTAGTGTTGATGCACATGCAGGTTCGTGGCTGCAGCCGAAATGCACCTTTATTCACTATTAGCTTTCTGTCTGCAATATCGGCATGTTTGAAGACTGCTTAGGGCTTCCATGCAAATAACTGCCCCCATGCTCTTCCCTTTGGTCCCCAGAGGCCCTCAAGGTCTTGAACGTCGCCTCCACAGCGTTTCTGTGCCCAGACGTGATCATGCACCTTGAATTCCGAAGCAGCGTCTGTTAGCAGGTCCTCCTCTTTTTCAGCTGGAAAAGGAGGTGTGTGTGCCTCCCTGCGTCGTCCTAGTCGCACTCCGAAGCCTTAAACCCTTGAATTTACACTCGAAATACCTCGATCCCAAACCCAGAGGCTCCGACAAGATGCTTCCAAAGGGACCTGAGGTTAGGGGTGCATAAGTGTTTTGTGGGGTTTTCAGGAAGCACCTTGTTCAGGGCAGATAATCATGAGTCCGCGAATCCATCCGTTTGATTCGTGTTGTCCTGAGACGGTTTGTAGGTCAAACGTTTGTCTGCCACATAGTTAGTCACACCCGGAGTTGAAGAACTCAAGCGTGCCTGCGGTTCAACACGCGTGCCGAAACCCTAAACCCTAAAGCCAAGGCCCTAACAAGCCTTGAAGACCTGATGGCCAAGCCCTATGCCTAACCCTTATAAACCCATGTATAACCCGTAAACCCTATGCATAACCCTGAACCCGAAACCCCGTACGTGAACCCTAAACGCTAAACCCCCTAAACCCTCAAACCCTAAAACCCTAAAACCCTCAACCCTTAACCCCAAACCCTAAACCCTTAACCCTTCTCAACCCTCCTTCAGCAGGTATAGCGCTTCCATCAGCGCCTGCGCCAAGTCTGCAGGATGGCTACAGGCTCAGCGGCTCCTGAGCTCGGCGCAGAGCAGATCCGTACCTAGGTGGAATGTGAGCTTTAGGGTATAGGGGTTAGGGTATAGGGTTTAGGGTATAGGGTTTAGGGTATAGGGTTTAGGGTATAGGGGTTAGGTTATAGGTTTAGGAGGGCAGGGTTTAGGGGTTCAGGGCCTAGGGTTCAGGGTTTAGGGTTTCGAAGATCTTGCAAGGGCAGGTACTGAAACATGGATCCCTGTTTTTGGAGGAGGTCGGTGCCGGGTTGTAGACCGATATCCTAGTTGGCAGAAGCTCTCGTATGGACCCCAAAAAAGACCCGGAAACGGCTAAGCCGCTTTGGGGCTTTACTTACGATTCAATTGGCCCACATTTGGGTGGGCAGTGGCTTCGTGGTTCAGATGGTAGGAGGCATGCGCCCCTATCGAAGCTCATGTACCTAGCAACATATAAACCTAGCTTCCATTTCAAACGGATTCTTTCGTTTGACTCTCCATTAGAGTAGTCTCCACTGTCTTTCTTAGCCCGACTCTGTATAACCCTTTCTAACCCTATACAACCCTACATAACCCTGTATGAATTGGTGTAACCCCATACAACCCTAATTATATAACCCTATATAACCTGGTAAAACCGTGCATTACCCTAGACAACCCTATATATATATATATTACCCTATACAGCCGTATAGAACCCTGTATCCAGCACTCTGAAGCTCAATTCGCAATGGCTGAGCCCTGGTCCCTAAACCCTCAATCTCTCATTTGGAGCTCTATATATAAGCTATAGTCTAAGCCCATTAAACTATTATAGGGGACTATAGAGGCTTCCTCTTATAGGGCTTATTAAGGGAGATGCTAGGAGTTAAAACTAGAGCTCATATACTTCTGGATGCTACGAATGCCGCATGACCGTAAGCAGCGGTTTGTGGGTGTAGGGTGTAGAGAATTACGGTAGTTTCGGATTGAAAAAGCCAAAAGCAATGTAAGAGCCATGTAACCACAGACGTACCTCAAAGCCTTAAACCTGGCAGAACGCTTGGTTGCACCGGGTCTTGCTGACACCTTCTGGGAGACACGGGAACAACCTAGACAAGTGGGCAGGTGATACAGCCCCGCCTAACCATTTTGGGTGGACAGAGACTCCTGCCGGTGCTTAACAACCTGTGTCTTTACTGTGGAGCAGTGCCTGTGGAGTTGCATGCTGGAAATCTTGAATTTGGTGGTGCATGGTGATGCATGGAAGCATGATTATGGGACTGCGTGCATGTTGGACAGAAAGTAACTGACACTGGAGTCCGGAAGTCGGCTGCATTGCTGGTTTCTTGTTCCCTGGAGTGTGGACTGCATGCATGACTTGAATTTGCGAATACAGCTGCATGGCATGAATGGTGTGGACTGCACTCGAGGCTTGAATTTACGAATGAACACTGCATGAATGGACATCCCCACTACCTCTTGGTATGGCTGCTTTCTTGGGAAGTTTGAAAATGGCCGTAGAATACAACTACAACTGCATGAGCGTGCCTGCATGCCAACTGGAAGCACATGTGGTCTTGCCGCATACATCGCCTCCCGCGTGTACTGAGAGCACGGGGCTTGCTGTGTCTAATTCCTGAACCTGTTGGTTGCTGGTCCTTAGTACTGAGTTCCTGCAGTGGCTGTAGTGCTGGCCAATGTGCTGAAGCTGACCGGACAGACGTTATTTGCCGTGCCTGCTGTGTGCGATGTGCGTGTCTAAACCACCCTAAAGCATAGACCTTAATTCCTACACCCTCGGACTTAGTCATAGTACAACAATATTCACCAAAGCCTTATTCTAGAAATGCAGACCCCCTCGACCGCCTAATCCTAAACCCTAAACCCAGGTGCAGCCAAACACAATCACTTACGGCGCAGCCATGACGGCCAACGGGAACGCCGCTGCATGGAAACAGGGTGGCTTTGATGAAGGTATAAGGGCTTTAGCTGTGTAGGGTTTACACTACAGTTTGAGGATGTTTTAAAGGGGTGCTGTTGCCAAAATTGTGGAAAAGCTAATGCAAGATCAAATGAAACGCATTTGAAAATGCAGTTACGCAGAGTTTAGGGTTTCAAAGTTTGGGGCTTGGGGTCAGGAGACACTTAGTAGATGTATAGCCCTCATGCGCTTAATGATAATTCCAGATATGCCTGGTATTAAGCTGCGCCCCCCAAGTTGGATCAGAAACCACTGGGGATGTTTGGGGCATTTCCAGGTTACTCGCACTTCTCAAGAAGGTGGCCGCAAGTGCAGGACAACCCTCCATTTAGGTTTACGCCTTGCGCCGCGCAATCCCTGAAGTGCCGTGCGCACGTCCATGTTTTTGACTGCCTTCCGTTGGTACCCTGCTTGCTTTTGTAGGGATCCGCAGGCCTAAACCCTAAACCCCAAGCCCCCCACCAAGCTCCAGATCAGCTCTAAACCTGAAACCCCCCACCCAAAGTCCCAAACCCCTGAACCCTAAACTGCTGAAACCCAGGGGGCTTCTTGTTGAACAGCGTTCTGGCGAAGAAGCTGCAACCAGACCTGGTGAAGTTCAACAGCTCCATAACCTGCTGTGAGATACTTGCGCTGAAGGGTTCAGGGTTTAGGGTGTAGGGGTTTAGGGTTTAGGGTTTGGGGTATATACATATATCTAGAGGGCTTCGGCTTTTGAAAGGTGTAGGGTTAAGGGGCATATATACATATATTACGTAGGGTTTAGGGTTCAGGGGTATACAATATATATATATATAGAGACTTACACATGTATAGAAGTAGAGAGGGGTTATGTTTGGCTTAGGGGAATATTGCCCCAAGAAGATCCGTACTAGACTAGAGTGGCATTTAGGTTGATAGATAGGGATGATATGGTGGGGGAGTATAATAATGGATAGGGATCATATAATATAGGGTTCATGGAGTAAATGGTGGTCATGTAGGGTTTTGGTAGATATTACCCCAAGAGCCGAGAATCAAATGAAACAGGACATGGAAACTGGGTTTACATTGGGCTTCATACCAATAATTACCCTCATTGCGGCTCTATATTCCTTATATACTTCAGGCATGGGAAACCTCAAAATGATATTGGTAATTATTTCGGCCCCTACAGTGTGCTGTTGTCCCCACTGTCTGAAGGACCCCTGCAGTAGGGGTCCTGTTCAAGGGTTTTTGGTCGATGCGAGCTACTGTGGGGCCGCGGGCAGTATCTTGATGTTGGTACCAAGGCCAAGGAAAACTACCCTAATGCACCGAACTCCCTGCGCCCAATTTTTACAACTGCTGGAATTCAACCTCGTTTATCGCCACTTCAGCGGTGTTTAGCCAATCAGAACATTCTGAGATCTCGACCTACCTAGAAGCCCTCCTGGAAGTCATTCTATGAGGCTCATCTCATCTGCTTATTGTTTTACGGGATGTTGATAGGAGCATCGTGTAAGGTAAGCAGTTGTTGCGCGCTTACAAACTTCTCAGGGACCTTGCGATGAACCTTTCAGCGTTCCATCGACCCATTTGCTAGAGAGCTGGACAGAAAAGGCATGTGAAACCTAAGTCGCAATGCGTTTGAATTCAATCCCTTTTCTACAAGTGCCGCCATTAATCTAACTCACGCATATCACTTCTGGTCTCGGATGCTGTGCAATTGAGGAGAGCAGCCATGTGGCAGCACGCGCCTTGACTGGAAGTACAGTGCTGTTATCTGACCTCTTGCTCAGAGCACACAATATGTAAGCCCAGCAGACGCCCTAATCATCAGAGCCCAAACTCTAAAGCCGGAAACTTCTTCACTTTGCATCCTGCTCCCTTTCAACCTCCTGTGCAGGGATCCAGCGCCGATGTGGGAGTACTTGATCTAGTAGTCGTTTGTTGCAGTGGCACCGGTCATACCAGATCTACTAGGGTACACGGAGCAGTGGAGAAGTATGGGCAGCAAGTACCTAGCAATAGTGGAGCAACAACTTCAGAGTTCAAATCGACAAGAACACGACACGAGGCAGCTGTCTGTGACTCCCAATCCTAAACCCTGAAGAATACACCCTAAACCCTAATATGGGTTCCGCCCAAGGGTTCTCTGGGCTGCCGCATCTGCCAAGGCCATTCAACTCTTCTGGGAGGCTTCAGAACGGAAGCTGCGCCCAAACTTGATCACAAGCAGCTGGGACAGACATGATACGTACCATCGGTTTAGGGTTTAGGGTAGTACCGTACCATTGTTGACGGTAGAAATGCTGCATGACCTTACTATGCCACTTCGCTACACTACTCTCTCCCGTAATTCCCAGGGTATGAGGTACTTGCGTACAGTCATGCACGAGCTTGTAGTGCCAAAACCAGTGCACCCATGAAGCTCTCATCCCTGAATACGGGCTCCCCAGAAAAACTCATGCTGCTCTGAATCCTGCTGAAACGCAGCAGTTTATCAACTGTACCAGCCTGCTATAGTTCCTGCAGAAGCTGCAAAAAACTCCGGGAAGCATAGCTTTCAAGGATAATACCCCGAAGATGAGTGTTGAATTGAGTAAACACCTTGTAAACCGCTGTATAAAACGAGTTTCCATGTCATTTTCCAGTTTCCTTTCCATCCAACTTTTCCATTGTTGGTAGTCATGTATGCCCCAAACCCCTAAACCCCAAAAAGTTTCAGTATCTAATATATCTCACAGCAGTATCGGCAGCTTGAGGCAGTCAAGGGCTTAGGGTGTAAGGTCGCATTGCAAACTGTCTTCCTTTGACTCGGCTGCTGCTAATGCTTGCTAAGAAAATGAATTTGACTTACCAAGAGCCACAGGGTTTAGAGTTCTGGGGCTTAGGAAGCCATATCATCTATCAAATTTGCTTACTCCCTTCAACAGGAACCAACCACTTGCCTTACTGGGTTAGTCCAGAAGAAAGGAATATAATCCCTATGTAAGCCGCGTATAACATATTTTTTATTCCCTACAAACCCTAAACTCTTCAATATAATTCATTATTCCCTACTAACCCTCAACTCTACATATTCCCGTATTCCCTACTAACCCTAAACACTCAACTTAATTTAAGTCCCTTAACAGGCCCCCACCCCCAGTAAGTTGAGGCAATGCAGTCATCAGTGCTTGTGGCCAAGTTGGCAGATGGCAGCAGGAGCCTTGCACTTTCAAGGTTTAGGGGTTGAGGGTCTAGGGATTGGGGTTTAGGGATTAGGTTTTAGGGATGGGGGTTAGGATTCCGCGTGCCTGATAAAGGCTTTACAGCTATTCTCTAAACATGTTACACGGGTTCTATAGGGATTGTAGTTCAGTTGTAGTCCCATGGGGATTCTTGAAGGATTGGGATTAGTCGTTTATTATCATTTAGCTCCTGTTATTTGACCACCGTTTACTATTCTGCTATCACTATATACTGGGGTCTCTGCAGGGACACACTAAGCCCCACAGAGATGTTGGTAACTTCAACCTACTGAATGAAGCCTTCACCCCCAAACCGGGCACCCTAAACCCTGAACCCTAAACCCTAAACCTTAATGTTTAGGGCGACAGGTTTGGGATCTGAAATTTGAGGTTGAACCGTTTTAGGTTTCAGGGTTTTTACGGTTTCAGGGTTTTCAGGGTTTCGGGTGTCAAGGTTTTAGGGTTTGAGGGTGTAGGATTTAGGGCTTAGGATTTGACAGCTCCAGGTAGGCAAGTTCCCCTGAAGTCTTAAGTAGATAGAATACAGTCTTCCCCAAGTTACCATAAGATCCGTGTATGATACCTCATATTCTATCTACTCAAGGGGGAACATAGTTAGACTTATATGAGCCTGGTTTAGGGTTAACGGGGCTATATGAGGTCTACATTGGCCTCCTTGAAGGGTAAACCTTTAACCCTTAAACCGCATGGGCTTGAGATTTCTGATTTGAAGGGAGGGGCCTGAACCCTTTATCTGCGCGGGCTTGAGATTTCTGATTTGAAGCCTGAAAGGCTTGCCCTAAAAGGTTCCTTGTTGTGCACTTACGGGCCTGAAGCAGGTTTCGTAGGGATCATCATCAAAATTATGCATGCAAGATCAGCAGGATATTGGCGATGGTTCAGGCGCCTACAGCGTATACCTGTTGAGAACTTGGTTCATGCTATCATCACAAGTGTGCTACTTGTGTCTCACTTCAAGCTACACAGTTCAGCCCAACAAGGTCTAGGGTTCAGGGCTTATCACGGTTTTAGGGTTTAGGGTTCAGACCTGTGATTAGTCAACCCCTTCCTTATGAGGGCCTTCATATCAGCAGTCCTATTATACTCCCTATAAAGGGAGGGGTTGATTGAGCACGGGTTTATATTAGGCAGCATGGCTTCTCTCTGGCCAAGCAAGCCATAGCCTTCAGCTTCAAGTCTTGACTGCTGAATCGACCCTGCAGCCAGCCAGATGTCCCTTCTGCTTCGGGGTGCTGTCGAAGAACTGAGCCTGCATAGACCTTGTGTTGAACAGGCTATATTCTATACACACCTAGTTCGAAGCACCAAACATGCCCTAAATGACCATCTTCCAAACACAAGAGATTTTTCTTTCAGGGCCGGGTGTGTCCCATCAGTCTTCCCCCTTAAGCTGTAGTGTTCCGGGTTCTTTAATTGTATGGGAAATGGGATTCTCCCCAAAAAAATACTGGCTCTCCCTCAGGCACCCCAGAGCAGTATAGTCCTTCTTACTTACGGAGAAAAGAGACTCCCAAAAACGGACCCCTACACCCCTAAACCCTAAACACCCAGAACAGCAGATCTTCGCGCTTAGGCCTTGCAAGTTTTGCACGACAACTGGCGGAAACGTCTCCGCAGCGACTCGCCTTTTTGCATCTTCTTTTTTGAATAGCATGTTGGTATAGCGTTTAGGATTTAGGGCATTTTGGTTTTGGCGTGTGGGTGAATAGCATTCTGGTATAGTTTACACTGTTGTGTATACTTGGCCGTGCTGGGTGTATAGATATGGGCGTACAGAATATACTAGCGTGTGGATTCATGTTTGCAGGTACGCAGATTAGCAGTGCCTGGTGGGTTTGGGGGCTTTTGCTTCTTAGGGTAGGGTTTAGGAAGATCTCTTTGTAAGGGGAGTTTTGCTGCTTTCAACCACATGGAAGGTCAGAATTACAGTCTTTCCATTGGGGTACCCTATATCTCAGGACCAAATTCCAGCAGAGACCCAAACAGGGACCATAAGCTCGACAACCTATCACACTCGCTTGAGACTAAACGTCCTGCATGACCTGACTATACCATGATAAGTATAATTTCTGCAGAACAAGGTACTTGAGGTGGGGTCACGCAAGATTTGGACCATCCCCGTAGCACAGTCAGCCAAGGTGATGTTATCACATCTTCTTCAGTCCTCAGCGCTTGTGAGCAGGCCACGGCTTTCAGGTTTAGAGAATAGAGAGGGCTTTGGTGTTGTCTTGGATTATTGACTTGATGATGTCTACGATTGTATTGACTTGGTGATAACCCTCCGGACGATTTTCGTGGCCGATCTACAAGCTGCAAGTGCATGTAAACAGTAAGCGGAACTCAGCAGTCATGGATACAACAAATCTAGGCGGCCCGTTTGAGTGGACATCCATGCCTCTTGTAGACCGGTTAATCTCTAAACCCTGACCACCTTGAACATTCACCCTATAGTACTATGGCCCACGACATGTGCAGGAAACGATAGACTTGTCCCTGTATGCCCTACATCCTGTCATTTAGCAGGAGACTATATACCCCAAACTCTGACCCAAATATGTTCCTAAACTTAGGCCTAAACACTAAACCCTAAACCCAGTTATGTTCCTTAAACACTAAACCCTAAACTCCATTATGTTCCTTAACCTTAAGCCCTTTCCGAAGAAGATCTCCTCCCAAGCTCAGTGCTTGGAAAGGCAGCCGCCTGGGAGGAGGCATTGAGACTTAGCTGCAGAGGGTTTTCTTGTTGGTATTTCGGGTTTAGGGCTTAG